TGCAATATTTGATAACTTATGTTAATAATTTTTTCACTGAACAATAGAAGCAAAAGTCGACTTTTTTAAAAACTCAAATTTTGTGTTAAACCAGTTATGGTTTGTCGTTAAGCATTAGAATTTTGTCAGTTATGATTCCTTCCTTTCGTAGAAACATGTGTAATTATTCAGATGATAACAAAAATTCTGCCTTGACTGAACCATGCCACAGTGCTGGCGTATCGATAGGCAGTGAGATGTCTGGTGGGGTATATAATGTAACTGTGGAGAATGTCCTCATCTGGAGTTCTAGGCGTGCAGTTCGAATCAAGACTGCAGTCGGAAGAGGTGGATACGTTAGAGATATAACCTATCAAAATCTTACATTTGATGGTGCCCGAGTTGGAATTGTCATCAAGACAGACTACAACGAGCACCCTGACGATGATTTCGACAGAAAGGCCCTCCCAATAGTAAGGGACATAAGCTTCACCGAGATATACGGTCAAGGAGTCCGTGTACCTGTTAGAATACACGGAAGTGAAGACATTCCCATCAGAAACGTGACGTTCAGGGATATGTCTATCGGGATAACATATAAGAGGAAGCATGTATTCCAGTGTGCCTTTGTGGAAGGCTGCGTAATAGGGACTGTCTTCCCTGCTCCCTGTGAGAACCTTGATAGATACGATGAAGAAGGAAGACTCATATTGCGATCTGAAGCCCAAAATGTAACAGATATAGATTATGACATATGAGAAAATGGCGGTTCGCTGTCGGCCAGCCATTCTTTCTTGGATCAGAGCTCAAAGGCACGAAGTTTGTATGAGATAATTTTGCAAGAACTATGGAGCAGAGCAAGCATGTTTATTTCCTTACCGGTTTTTGGCTCCACTTTTATAATTTGTAAGATTCACTGAGCCGTGTACTGAGAAATTCAAGTAGCTTGTATACATTTTTCACCAGCTTGCTGAAACCAGTTTCATAGCATGCATCCCCCTTTTTAACCAGGCTTTATACCACACCACTTATTAAATCTAAACTCACAGTTCCTTACGAATGTGCCAATTTAGCTAGTTTGATAAACTAAATTTTAATCTCTTTTAGCGTTCGCTGCAAATTCGGACAGTTAAAGAATCATTATGATATTATTTGTCGAGACCTTTATCGTAACATATTAGTTCAATAAAATCCAAAGATCGATGGACTATGATGTCACACGGACCATTAGATGTGGTCGACCAAAAATTTTGTTTTTAAAATCAATGTATTCATTTGCATAAATTCATAATTTGACATACATAAAAGCATATTTTAAAATACTTGTTTTACAAATTTGGGAGCCCCACAGTAATTTGAATTTAAGTTTACAAGATATTCAAACATTACATCTTGACCTAACATACATGGGTTCATTTACAATACATGTCACTAGTACAAACGCCGAGACATACTCAAAGCTGGCGGCTGATGCATTTTGGTCTAGGCAAGGCTCCTAAAAATGCTCCTGATCCTATCTTGCGCACAGAAACAAATTTCGAACGTTGAACTCACAAGCTCAGTGCCACACTAATAACCAATCTAAACTACATGCATCCTCTATTGATCATACTTAAAACATACTTAATTCATAATTGCTAGCTTACGAGTATGCCAACTAAAACTTACACACAAAGGTAGGAATCATGGTTTGACTGAGGGGCTATATCTCGGAGCTCACGCACCCCTTTATCCTACCTAGGGTGAAAATTCAGAATTCTACATCGGATTGCTTCACCCGCTAACTTGCTTCGTCGAGACTTGGGGCATCTACGCCCAGCTAATAAAGATGTGCAACGAATCTTAAGGTTGGTCATATCTTAGCATACAAACATTCCCTTATATTCTAGAGTGATTCGGGTGTCCGTCTCGTTACCCGAACGTCATACAAGGAAAGTCTTATGATTCCTTAAATAATAGAGTTTCTAAGTTAAATTTAACTTGTTAATATTGTTTTCACTTAATGTCTTATTGAAGGATTAAAGAGTGGTGTGGGCCCCTCAACCATTCTTTTAAAATTTCTCAAAATTTCTTATCTTTGAAAAGGAGGTAGTATCGATACTATCACGTCAGTATAGATACTGACTTAAGAGTATCGATACCCCTACTTGAGTATCGATACCAACAACTTAAAATAGACCTTAAGAAAAAGGGTAGTATTGATACCCCTATGGGGAGTATTGATACTCCGCCCATGGTATCGATACTCCCGTGAGTATCGATACCAAAATGATATACTGGAATTTTACTATCGAGATCTTTCCCTTAGGTATCAAAACCGATCCTAGAGTATCGATACTTCTGCTTTAAAACTTGTATTTTTGACAAGATACGAACAATATCGATACTGACTCATACATTATCGATGTTGACTCATACATTATCGATATTGGCACCCGAAAATGTCTTGTTTGAGCATCTTCAACTATTCTAAACTGTCCTAAAGACCCTAAGGAGGTCCCCAAACATTATTTGTAACACCAAACGACACATAGTCGTCCGATAAGAGCATCACACGGAACCACTGAAGTGGCTAACCAAAATTTTCTTTATCATATTCAATGGGAAAAAACTTACATTAATAATTATTTATGATAAAATAGACAATAACTTTTGTAAAAAATAGTTTATAGTCGGGAGCTCCAAAGGATACAAAAATTAAATGTACAGACCTTGAATTTAAAACAAGTTATGACTCGATTATACAAAATAAAGGTTACAAATATACATGCCCTCTAAAAAGAAATCGAGACGTACTTTTCTTCGAAATTCTGGGTCTGGATCTACCCGATACAAAAGTTCTTCAAGTTCTCCATCTAAGAATATGTGTAAGGAAACAAATTCCAAACGTTGAGCTAACTAACCCAGTGCCACACTAACAACTAAATCATACTAATGGGGGTTATTTAAACATGATCATACATCTGATTAAAAGGTATAATGAATCTATTTAATCTTAATCATTAGCAAGTATCCTTGTGATACTCACTCTCTACGCTATGGTAGACATCATGGTGCGGTTGAGAGATCTATGCATCTTGGAGCTCACATACCCCTCTATTCTACCGAGGATGTGCCCCCCAAAATTTATGCATTGGACAACACCCCCCGACTAGCCCACCCCTTGCGAGTGTCGGACCTTGAGCCCTAGTTAGTCAGTTTAAAATGCCTTGGGCACTCTCTAAGGATATATGGATTGCCTCTATACTTCGACACATTGAATTAAAGGAACTCGAGTGTTCGATTCATTTTCCGAGCATCTAACAAGGCTAGTCTTATTTTTCCCTACTTTATCTAGTTTCTACGTTTGATTTGGCGTTATTATTTTTTCCACTTGTAACCTTATTTGAGAGTAATTATAGATTTCTTGGGAACCTCATTCCCCATTACAATCTCCAGAAAATCCTTAACTTAATTTGTACGTAGGTACATATACTGGCCTTTTAGTATCGATACTGACCTCTAAGTATCAATACTTTGCCTTAGGTATCGATACTCTACCCTATTATCACATGCTTTGAAGAAGTATAGTATCGATACTTACCGTCTAGTATCGATACTTCCAAGCTAGGGTATCGATACTAAACGGGATATCGATATTAAATTTAGATTCAATGTTTAGAAAATAATCTCAATATCGGTACTCCTATGGGGAGTATCGATACTTCTACCCTGGGTATCGATACTCCCATGAATACCGATACTAATTTTAGCTTCGATGTTTTCAAAATTTACTCAGTCGATACTCTTACTCAACTAAGCCGATTTTACATTTTCTAAAGAATAGTATCGGTATTGTTCTTATAGTACCGATACCCCTGCTCGAAAAGGCCTTACTTAGGCTCAAAATTTACACCCAAACTCACGCATATTGCTACAATGAGGTTCCCACTTATTATTAATGTCTTATGTGATCAATAAGAGTCATAAATAAGGCTTCAAAACATACTTATAACATAAAACATTGAACCTACCATTAACATGCACATCAAGCTTATTTCTAAATTTTCATGCTATCTAACACTTCTAATGACCCACTAGAAGTATGAAGAAGTTGTAAGTGTGGTTACCTTGTATTCTTGGCTAAAATGCAAAGCCCCCAACTCAATCAAGAGGTATTTTCTCTTTTCCTTTAGCTTTTGAGCTTTCTCCCACTTCTTTAACTATTCAAGGGTAAAAAAAGAAATTATAAGTAAACTAAATGATGGAAATAAAGATGGGAACATTTCCTAGAACTTAAATCTATCAAAACAACTTATAATCCAAGATTTCTCTCAAACCTCCCAAAAACCCATTTTGGAAACTTAATCTAAAACTTGCAATACGGAGATTAAATTAAAGCTTGAAAGATGATGATTCACATTCTTACCTTGGCTCAAGCAACTAGAATTGGAATGCTTAAAATTTTCTACTTGAGAAAGGAAGAGGAAGAGAATAAAATGAAAGGAAGAATAAGAAGACTTGGTGATATATTTGGAGTTAGTTTACGTGACCTGATATAAAAATAAGGGGGAAGTTTTCAACTGAAAACAAAAATGGGTAAACTACACTTTAGGTCCTTACACTTTCAAGCTCATACAAATATCATTACATTTCATAAAACTTTTGGCCCAACTTAGCCCAATTCCAAATAAACTTAGTCCAAACTATTTTAATAAATCTTTCGGGCTCTAAAATGGATCTTGGGTTAACCCAAACTACTGACCCATGTTTATGGGTGTTATATTATTAGTATCTTATGTAAGTATATTAGGGTCATAAAGAGGTATCATATAACTTAAAAACACATGGATTTGAAATCTACCATGATCATGCTCTTAAATCATTCAAAACTAATATAAGCTACATAAATGCTTGGTAATGCTTACAATTGACATAAGAAGGTTATTAGGGTGTTACCTTAAGGTCGTGGTAGCTGGAAAGAGTCCCAAATTACCCCAAAGTTAACTTCTTTTTCCCTTTGTTTTGGACCCTTCTCCTACTTCTTTCACTAATGCATAAAGAAAAGATATTACTAGCTTATTTAGGAGACTATTAAGAGTCTAAAAGCATTTCTTAAAGTTCACCCTTCCCCAAACACAAGCTAAAATCCTCTATTTCATAAACCTCAGCAAAAACCCATTTGGTTTGAAGCTTAAATCTTGGCATATGGGACTTGAAATGGAGCTCAAGAAATAGAAAAATAACTTTCTTACCTTAGATAACTCAACTAAAAATTGGAATCCTTGGAGCTTCACTTGAAGGAGAGGAAGGCTAAGAAAAAAATGAGAGATATGAGGAAGAGTGTTTGGTGAGGAAGACATCGGAGTTGTTCACGTTATTATTAAGAAAAAAAGGGATTTTAGCTATTGATTTGAAAAATGGTAAAATCACTCTTTAAGTCTCTCTCCTCTTATTTCATAACAATCTTAGCCCCAAATATTAATACTTGAGCCCGAACCAAGCCCAAATCCTAATTAATATTAATCCAACTATCTTACTAAGTCCTTCGGCTTTATTAGCGGGTCTCGGGTCAACCCGAATTTGGGGTATTACAATTATCCATTCCCAAAAGATATGATATGTCTAATAAGATATACAATGTCATTATTTTTAAATTTCAATATATTTTTTCTTTCCGACGAGGGACTTATATCTCCAATTTCTTCAAGACGTGATATTAATCTAACGTCATATCCTACAAAATCGACCGATATTTGATCCCATTATATAGTTTAAAGTACAAAACTAATTTCTTTTTTTAAGAAAGAAAACCGTTTGATATATATAATGTCTTTGCGATTACGTGATAGTTTGAAGAAAGCAAGCAGTTGCAATGATTTGCTGGATTGGTTGGTAGTTTAGCATTAACAAACACTCAATCATTGCTTAATAATAATAGTAATTTAGTAAGTGTCCAATACACGTTTTTTAATTGATATTAGGGGTGTCAAATAACTTAACTAATTCGGTTAACTGATCGAACTAAATTAGTTCGATTCGGTTACAGAATTAGTTCGGTCGATTAAAGGTTAAGAAAATTTTTAGAAATCGATTAACAGTTAATTCGGTTCGAAATCGGTTAATTAACCGAATTAACCGAAATTAAATTTTAAATATTAAATATATTATATATAATATATAGGCTCAACCCAAACCATTTAAAACCCAAGTAATAATTTAAGATTCAATAACTTTTAAACTAAATCAATATTAATTAATTAAAAATTTTATATAAATTTTTATTTTATAATTATATATTATTTAAATTAATTGTAAACTGTTTTTTAATTAAAAAATATTATATATATTATATATAACATATGAGCTAAACCCAAATCATTTAAAACCTAATTAATAATTTAATATCCAATAACTTTTAAACCTAAATCAATATTAATTAATTAAAAATTTATCTGAAATTTTTATTTTATAATTATATATTATTTAAATTAATTATTTTTTTGAATTAAAAACAATTAATTTTTATATAAATTAAAAAATTTTAATTTTTTTTGGTTAATTCGAAAATTAATCGAATTAACCAAAATTTATTCGGTTCGGTTAATATTTTCGAAAAAAAAATCGATTTAATTAACGGTTAAAGAAAAAAAAATTGGTTAATTCGGTTTGATTCGGTTCGGTTTTAACCGAATGAACAACCCTAATTGATATAAACGAAGTTGTTGCTTCATTTCCAACAAATTAATTAACTGATGGGGCTTTTAGTATAAGCTCAAGTGCATGACCAGTCTGAAATAAAAGCAAAACAATTGAATTTAAATTAATTTGAATGATTGACTTTAAAAATACTAATAATAAATAAAATCTAATTTAATTACAAAGAATTATAGTCTTCACAATTAGCTCCAAACTACAATCCTGAGACCTACGTTGAAGGACCAAAATATTATTATTTTTTTACTCCCGATTTCAGAGTTTTGTATTGAGTAATCTGGATTTACCTGTGTTGTACACTTAGCTTTGGTGTTTGAATCTCTCAACGAGGATTTTCTGCATATACAAAGACTCAAACATAAGATCTTACTTAAGTGACATCAGACTACTTATCGCTTAAACCAACCCATTAATAAATGACCAAAATATCAAGCTGCTATTGTAATCTTTTTAACACTTTACCTTAAAGGCGCATAACTATCCTGGATGGCAAAAGCCACGAGATAATGTTCTCAAACTATTTAATTCACGAGATAATGCTTTGGCCATATTATTTGCTGAGATAGGGTGAAATCTACAGTGCAGTCGTAGGTCGCCATGGCATCCGGGCGAGCTAGGAGGTCGCCATGGCATCCGAGCGACCTGTGTGGTGTTTTGCATGAACCATGCACGTCCAATAGGTAGGTCGCCAGAATGCATGTCGCTAGGATGCCCTGGCGACCTACCATGTCGCTTGGATGCCCTGGCGACCTACCCATCGGACGTGCATGGCTCATGCAAAACACCACACAGGTCGCTCGGATGTCATGGCAACCTACGATTGCACTGTATATTTCATCCTATCTCAGCAAATAATATGACCAAAGCATTATCTCGTGAATTAAATAGTTTGAGAACATTATCTCGTGGCTTTTGCCATCCTGGATACTCAAACTTTTTGTGGCATATGTAATCTTCTACCTAACAACTACAACAATACATTAATCAACTTTCAATAAATAACCATCTCATCATTTGATAGAAATTAATTTCGTTTATGATAATTTGTATGAATTATCTGTGTAATAACATGTTATATGCATGACTAATAATGTGATAATGATAAGTCTTCTGATAGTTAGATATTACTCTAATCTTTTGATTAATCTCAAATCCATTCATGATATTGTACATTACACGAATTATATTATACGTATTTGATATATATTATACGTATTTGATATATCATGGCTTATTCTTTCACTTAACCATTATGGATTGCATGTCTCATGTTGTACTGTTGTATAGTTGTGTATTACTGAACTTTACGAGTTTAACGTTCGATTATTTTACACCATTCATGTTGTTAGATCGTGTTGAATTTGTGTTACAATAACGTCATCATTTAGAAATTCCGATGGCATCTGTATCTAAATACAATTCTATATCATCATGGTAGGAAATGTACTATTTGTATGATCCATTGTATATATTGATTATATGATATGCAAACTCATATAATATTTAATGTGTTTTTAGTATCAGTATTTTATCAGTCTTCTTTGTTTATAAACGATTTTACAATTCAATTATTGTTATTTATCTTTTAAATTTATTTTTATTAAAATAATTGTCAACAATTTATGTAACATAATTATAATAAATAAGTACTTTTTAAGAAAACGAAACAAAAGTACCTTAAAAATATCGAAAGCACCTGTTAGAGGAACATGAAATAAAAGGTAAAAGGGTACATGAGACCCTGTATTTGTCAAAAAAAAAAATCAATGTCGCAGTTGATTTTGTTTTTGCTTAATGTGGCATTCGAACTTATAAAGAGAACTTAACTTGGTCATTTGACTAATGATTTCCGTCGTTGACCGTTATGATACTGACGTGACATTTTTAGGTATTGATGTGATAATCCACAATACTGATGTGACAATTCAAAGTGACTGATGATGTAGCAGATAAATTAAACTGTTTTTTAAGTTCAATGGTCAAATTGATTTTTTTTTCTTCAAAAGTTTAAAGGTTTGTTTGATTTTTTTTAAATATTTTAAATTCAAAATATAAAATATTTTAAATTCAAAATAAATAAAATTCAACAACAACTTAAATATAATAATACCAAAAGTAAAAATTAAATTACTAAAAAAATTAAGGTAAAAGGGTACATGAGACCCTTTTTTATCCTTAAAAAACCAATGTAGCACTCAATATTTTTTTTAACTCGAAGTCGCCCTCTAAAATAATTGTGAACACTTTATGTAACACATTAATTATAATAAATGAGAAGTATTTTTCAAGAAAAAGAAACAAAAATACCTTAAAAACTTCGAAAACCTCCTGCGAAGGGAACATAAAATAAAATGATAAAGCATCGCTGTTGGGAAGAAAAAGGTAAAACCAAAGAAAAGAAAAACGTCTCTTTGAAAGCGTATATTAGCCGTATATTAGTCCGCCTGCTTTTTTTACCCACCGCCACCCTTCTCTAACCAGCTTTATTATTTTATTTTTGAAAGATCAACAACAACCCATCTTCTCCTACTCTTCGTATAAATAAATCATAAGTTCCTTAGCTGAAAGCATCTCGAATTAAGTTTATCCTTGATGAAATTGTGAAGTAAGTTCAAAGATCGAGGTTGTTTGAATTCCAAATCATTCTCTAAAACCCCAAAAGAGCATAAGGGTTCAAAGCAGTTGGATTTTGTTTTGTCGGAAATATGTCGTGTTCGTCGGAATATACGGGTTTGAAGCAGGCGATGTTATCGGAGAAGCCAAGCTTTACCCAAACTTGTAATTTGTTGAGTCGGTATTTGAAGGATAAAGGTAGATTCCGAGATCTACCCCTGGGAATGACATGCAACGGTGAAACTAAGGGTATGCTCTTCATTTTATTTGAATTCTTTGTTTTTTTATCTCTTGTTTTAATCCTTTTCGGTTTTGGGTAAAGCTAGTTTATATTACTGAAGTCCAATTAAGCTTTGGTTTTTAATCAAATTAATGTTCAAAGTTGGGATCTTTATGTTTTTATTTTTCTTAGTTGTGTAAGATTCAGATCCTCAAAATCAGATTTGCAGATTGTCGTATTCGCAATTAATATTTCGAAACAGTCAGAACACATGCCCTTTAATTTCCCGGTCATCCCCTGAAATTACTAAAAATTTGAGCAATTGTTTTGGAAAATGAAATTGTGAAGAAGAAATAGAGCACGTGATTCAAAAGTTTCAATTTTTTCGGTATTTTTTCTAGAATACAATTCTGTTGAGATTTTACCCGTTTTAACTTGACAGGGTCATCGCATTCTTCTTCATTAACTTGACAGGACCATCGGACTCTGTTGACATAAGTCGTTTAACCATTAAAACAAGTTCTACAACAACAGAATTTGAGTCTAATCTCTAATGTATCGCCGCTTTCTTTGTGGATATGTTGCAGGGACACCACAGGTGCCGCCTACGACCATGGACCTATTTCCCGTCGAGCAAGTCCGGTGATGTTTCTGGCCGAACCGTTGGAGCTCCTCGGAACTTGAGATCCATGGATTTGTTCCCTCAACGAGCTGGTTTCTCGGTACCGGCTCCTAAGGACGTTGCTCTGAAAAGGGTTGGTTGTAGTACCGTTACTAACATGAACAAGTTTGAGCCTCAAGCTGCACAAATGACCATCTTTTACGGTGGACAAGTGATTGTGTTCAATGATTTCCCAGCTGACAAAACTAAGGAAATCAGGCTTATAGCCAACAAGAGCAGCTCACAAACCAACAGCTTCAACCCCACCCCTTTTACTTCCAGCAGAGCAAGAAGTCCAATCGAATCTAGTGTCGGAGTTCCTCCTACCTCGAAAGCGGGTCAACCAGCTCATCGACCCTATCCTGGAGGTAATCCTTGTTGTCCACTTCAGTTTCTTTAAATCGAGGAGTTCTGCGTTATTGTTCATGTTCTATGTTAAATTTCTTATTAGTTTTTGTGTCTATTTGCAGCAGATCTGCCAATTGCAAGGAGAGCTTCGCTGCATCGGTTCCTAGAGAAACGAAAGGACAGGTAGTCATCAAGACTCCTAGAGAAATGTCCTGCAATTTCGTGTATCGGATTATCTTAATAAGATCAAAGCATTTGCATTTAAAGACAAGACAAGGTTCATTTTTCTAGTTTGTACAACCTTTTTGAGTAAAATTATTGATGTTGATATCGTTATGATCATTCTTCAGGATCACCTCTAAAGCACCGTACCAGATAACTAGCTCTGCTGCATCACCTTCCGAGGCCGGCAACAGCAAGTCATGGCTGGGTTTGGCTGCTCAATCACCATAGTAATCTAAGCCGATGTCTGGTCTCTTCTCTTTTTTGAGGCTTTTCTTAAGCCTTCCTTTGTTTTTTCTCTTTTTTTTTCCGGGCAGGGTAAGCCTGCTGTTTTCTTACCTATCTATTCATGCAACGAGCCCCTTAGATCTCAACTCTCAGTCACATCCGACTTTTGATTAGTTTATCTGTAACCATATATATTAAGGAAATTTTAGTTCATGACACTTTTGAATCAAAATTTTGTTAGAGCTTTCATATCGGTTGTCTGACCTTTGCTAGACGTTCGGATCTTTCATGTCGGATGAACAAAATATACCTGTCTCCGAACAAGTATTCCGATCCCGGACTGAAAAAAAAATGTGACGAACTTGATTCAGATATATATATTGAATCAAAGCATAGGCAAAACGGTATGAAGTTGCAGTAGATACCATATACAGGGTTAAAAGAAATCTCAACGAATACGCATATCAAAGAGAGAGATATGATCATTCAAATGATAATAGCATGGGAATGGGGAGGCGTCTCTGTTAATGTAGCTAGGGATGGGCACCGTACCGAACCCGTCGGGTTCGAACTGATCGGTCCGGGTTTTAAAAAATGGGGTTCGGGTCGGAACCCATCATTTTCATTTCGACTAAATCACAACACAGTCCCAAGTTTCTTCTTTTTTGGACAACAAAAGCAACAGCATCTATCCATCAAAACACAACATTTCAATTCAAACACAGATCGATGAACCACAAACACGCTATGAAAATCAATTTACACAAAGCTTCATCAACAAACAAAACATTTCTTTTTCTATCAAAATTTGAACTTCCCGACTTTTTTTATATAAAAAAAAGAACTTGTAGGGCTAGAAAGTCCAAACACAAGGTGGGTGAAAATAAGCGCGGCCCGATCTGTCTCCCAAACCAACACCCGCCACTTCCGTTCCTTGTTTTTCAGCAACCCGACCCGCGTGCCTGAAATCCACTTCCTTGATTTGAGCCGTCGTCAAATCACCAGCACCCGCTATATCCGGAGGATTGTCATGAAAGTTGAGCTTTGCTGAATTCCCCCGCAGGCAGAAAAAGGCGGCGTCGTAAGCTCTCGCCGCTTCTTTCTCCGTCTTGAAAGAACCCAACCAAATTCTTCCTCGGCTGTTGGGTTGCCGTACTTCCGCCACTCATTTCCCCCACTTCCTCATCTGTACACCCTTGTAACGGCCTCCGTCATCATCCCTCTCCCCTATTGGCCTCACCATTTTTATTCTCCCCAATAATTCTGCTAGTTCATCATTATATAGTAAAAGATGAAATAACAGAGATCTGGCTGATTTGCAAAAGAAGTGAAAAAATGGTGGGAGGCGGAGGGAGCGCGTGGACGTTTGAGAAACTGCCACGTAGATTATTAAGAGGGAGATGCGTCCTGGGTTTTCGGTGATGGGAAACGTGGGGAATCGCGTGGAAGCTTTAGAACCGTTTGATATGGATAATGACGCAAATCGTGGATCGTCTACTATCTTTCCCAACCAAACTTCCACTGCCAATCATGACCGTTCAAATGAAGTTTCATAAATTCCATCATTAACGTCAACTACCACGATTGCGAAGAGCAGTTAAGCTACCCTTCTCCCGCCCTTACATTAGTATCCTTGCACCTCTCAAAAGAACAACGACGAAACGGTGCACCTTCTCGAATCTCGACACCCGTTCTACTCTTCTTCTTCCATCGGAGAAGCACAGGAACGCTATATCTCGATTGTCGATTAGGCCATAAGCTATATTTCCTTAATGGGAACCAAAGATGAAGTAGTGGAAATCGAGAAGTTATAGAAAAGTTTCTTCTCGGAATCTGTCACCGTAGAAGAGGAGACGGACGATGAGCCGGTCCTTTACGCGGCGTCGTTTCAAGAGATGGAAGAGGATTTCGTCAAATATCAAACTGCTCCGTGGGTTTTATGCTCATTGGTTTTAGTGTTAGCTTGGGGTATTGGGTTGTTCATGCTCTTATACGTTCCCGTTCGAAGATACATTCTCCGTAAAGATAATCGATCTCGGAAGCTTTTTCTCACTCCTAACTCAATAGTTTACAAAGTAAATTTCAACCCCTTGTTACACTTTTATCATCTTTTGCTCGTTAAGGCATGCTTTGATTACAATTTAGAAACTCTGTTTAAGCTGCAAATTTTAGAAATAATATTCGCAACAAATGGAGTAAACTTTGGAAGTTCAGGTTACAAGTCCAGTGCCATTTCCATGTTTTGGGGTTTTTAAAGAAAGAGAAGCATGTCGTATTACCTTCAGTTGCAGATGTTGTAATTGAACAAGGTGAGAACAATTGATGTACTTTTAGCTGTTTTTGACGAAGGGTGAATGTTTCTTTATGTAATTTTTTGTGTTTTTCTTTAGGATATTTGCAGTTTTTGTTTGGTGTTTATTCACTTAGAATTGAAAATGTTGGTGTGAGGTGGCCACCCGATGATGATTTACATATCCAAGGAATGGTTAACCCGAGTGCTTTTAGGAAGGTGTATTCTTAATTACCAAAATCATATTTGTAGTTCTGTACCCCCAAAAAATAATATTTGTAGCTGGTGCATGCTGATTTACGCTCCTTTCGATTCTCTCATTTAGGCCGTTTTGACACGCCTTTCAAATATGAGCACCGAGGTTTTCTCCCGACAAGTTTCTGCAAATGAAGATGCTCCAAATTTAAGTATTCGTTCACCATCTGCTTGGGTATGCCTGTTTATCTGATTAAGACAGTTTATTTTTAATAAATCGGCTCTTCATCCTAGTATGATGCTTGACAAATAATTTCTCTGTTAGGTTTGATGTTCCTTTTATTTCTTTTCTTATTGCAGCGTTCTCCACTTAAGCATGATGCTGTTCCGATTTCCGGGAATCTTGCATTACTACAGAAACTAGAGGAGGTTGGGAATTCTGTGAAGGTAAAGCAAGGATTACATGTTGATGTCTTTGTGATAGCGTTTATGCATCTGTTCTTAAGATTTTGATTTGATTTTGTCAGCAGAGAGTTCAAAATTTGATTGAGGAACAACATAGTCAAGCATCAGAAACTGCTGGTTGAGGTATATCAGAATTCAGAACGAAATACTTCTTTCTTTTAACGTTTCTTTGTGGTACATTTCTCATTCTTCTGAATTGTGATTGAATATGTACATTGTGGAAAAATTAACTTGTCTGTTATTGCTGCATTCCTTTGACTTGTTTTGATCAAATGAGTCCTTGCCAGTGTCAATGATGTTCTTATATCCGACTATACCCACACTTGTGCTTCTTGTCATGAGTTTGAAATAACCAAGTGTCTGTCTCGACCAGCTGTATCCCTGCCTGTAAATTGCTCCTTGGCAATAGACAAACTAGCTAATATCTTGATTCCCCTACCCCCATTACCTAATTTGATTTGTTCAGTTTGGTTCAGACACCCATCACTCAGTGTGAGCACTAATTGCATGTTCCGTTACCTAGATGCAGAAAATGTTTCATTGAAAACAGTTACTTGATTAAATCTTGTGACAAATTGAATATGTATATAATATTTAAGTTTGGTACATTTCACACTCATTTATTGTGCCGGGTTGCAGTTTTTAAGTTTTGTTTAGCGGTTAAGGTGGTTCTGAAATCTGGATGGTTGTTTACTTGATAGCCGTCCATGCATTTGGTTGGCAGCCTGCTAGGACTTACTGATATTCTCCTTCTCATGCTTTCTCCCTCTCTTTGCTCATTCGATGTATAGCAGTTGCAACTTGCAAGTAAAAAAGTAGGTGATTAAGTCGAAGAGAGTGAATGTATCTACACTTAGTAGAGTAGAGCATTCAAGATTTCATGAATTTTACGCCAACAACCTTTGTTTAATTTGTCGTCTCCACTGTGAGTTGAAGGTGGAGTTTGTTTTCATTATCATCCACCATGCATCTGTACTACTACTTTCTAACAATATGTCCTGAATCCGATGTTGCAGAAAACAGCGGTGCCGGCTGCATACCAAACTATGCATCATTCTTAAGAAGTCACGAATTTTATAGCGACCCTTTTGTTGTTTGTATTAATCATCATGATTGTTGTTTAGTAATTTTATTTTACTTGGAATATAGCCTTCATTTTCTTAATTAATGTAATGAGTATTAAGAATGTTAGTATTTAAAACACCGGAAAGATGGTTGATTTAGTGTTTATTCTCAAAATATCAGAATATTTATAATATATACTATTTTGTAATCATTAATGATTGTTTATCCTGAGAATGGCAGACACGTTGGCGTTGGTGTGTCGTAATTGATCTATGGGATGGGATCTTTACGACGTATGGGATGGGATCCCTCTCCTCACATTTCGTTTCAATTCCCAGTTTGGTCCGACATTGTTAATATGTTAAAAAAGTTAAATTAGATTTATAATCGGCGAATAATTCCATTTTCCGAGTGTCGCAACCGTCTTTCGGTTGGGCCCCCGGAATTGGGTTTCGACTTAAGTAAATGGATTGGAGTCGCCACCGATCATTTATTTAAAACAAATGGGTTGATCGGATACCCTAGTTCTTACCTGATCTGCGTCTTACCAGAAATATGTCGGTCTCGGGAGTCGGTTACGGTCAAGGAAGGATTAGCACCCTTGAACCGCTCTTTCGGTACTACGTAATTTTCAGTTGTCTTAATTAAAAAAATTATAATTTTAAATTAAAAGGTAAAAATAACGATCCAAAACTTACTTATGTTCGATTGAAAATGTACCCTTAAAGAGTTGAGAAACATGTTAGATATAAAAAAATAAAATAAATAAATAAATTCAACCAAAATAAAAATAAATAAAATAAAATAAAATAATAAATAAATAAATAAAGCATAGAAAAATGATAGTAAATAATAGTATAAATATAAAATAAAAAAGGTAATATATATAAATAAATAAAATACACATAAAGAAAATGAAGCAATAAATATAATATATATAATAATGATAAAAGGTAATATAAGCAAATAGATGTTAGAATGAAACACTAAAATACATATATGTAGTTATATGTACATAATATATATATACGAATAAAAAAGAAGAGGAGGAAACAAATAATAATATATAAAAAATATATAGATATAATTGTTAGTGAAAATAATAACAAATAAAATATAGTATAATAGGTAAAAAATGTGAAATCAATAAAAGGAATTAAAACATGAAGGGATTAAATTGGAACAAAAAAAATCAGGGGTCAAATTTCGAAGTAATTGGGGGAATATTAAATACTTAAAAAAATGAATATGCCTCGGGAGTAGATCTAGGTTCGAAACTTCGAAATCCCACCCCTTTTTGGTCATCGGCGCAACCCACGTTTTAGATTATTCGAACCAAATCTCAAGAAAAATAACGTGCACATGCAAAAAAAAATAAAAAAAATAAAAAAAAAAAGATACTACCTTTTATTTCCTTTTCGAATCGTTTACAATAGTTTTGCCTTTGTATTTTTCGTGCTTTCCTCTGTGTTTTGTGTGTAAATCGTGTCATCTAATGGTGAGTTACAATGGCTATTTATAGTGCTTGTGGATCCTATCTTTAGGAATTTAAATCTTAGTAGAACTCTATCCTATTTTTAGGAGTTTGAATCCTAGCAAAATGTTATCCTATTTTTAGGAGTTTGAATCCTAAAATTCTATCCTATTTTTAGGAGTTTGAATCCTAGCAGGACGAAAAATGTGTGTTGACAGCTGCCCCTCTTTGCCCATAGTCGTGTAACGGGGATAGGGCAAAGATTAAAAGACACAATTTTCGTTCAGTGGAGTTGAAAATTAACTCTGATGTTTCAATAACTCCCTGTCGAATTGAGTTACGGATGACTCCTCCATCGTGAAGTCGAGTTCATCTTGAAATGATATGAAATTAAAGCCGTAGTTCGGAATTTGAATCAGCACATGGATTCCCGTTACCCTTCGGTCTTCTTCTCGGTTTAAAGACCTTGGATCGGAATCGAACTCAGAAATCTTCGTTGACAGATAGCTTTTTCTTGACTTAAGCTATGTTGTTTGAAAATGGTTGCTTGTCACTAAGGCACGGCTAACCCATGTCATCTTCTCGACTTGAAAACCTCGACTGCAACCGGAAAGTAGTGCGATTGATGTGTCATCGAGCTGAATGGAGTCGAACTTGACAATTTTGATGGCAGATAATCCTTCTTTGAGTTGGATATCCTTCGTCGTGAAGTTGAAATCCAAGTAAGTAGCATTGTTCCAAGTCCAAAATCCTCCGTCGTGAAGTTGAAATTTGCTCTGGAACCGGGAAATTGTTTGTTGACAACCAGCCGTCCCTTCGTTGTGAAGTTGAACTTGTGTTGTCTCGAGTCCAATATCCTTCGTTGTGAAGTTGAAATTG